GGAATAGTTCTATAACACAAGCAATGAAAGGTGCCTTAATGAGATAAAGAAATCTTACATGCAACCATTTTAAGTTCATTAATGAAATAATAAGTATTAGTGGATTTGTGTATCCACTGTACCCTTTTTTTTTTTCCTTTCGAGGCCAGCAGCATGCCCAGCTAGAAGACATTACATTCCCAAGCCTCCACAGAGCTTTGGCTAAGGAGATACTCAAGTGGATATTGTTGGATGGAATCCATAGAAAAGTCCTTTCAAAAGGGAGTCAATAGACTGAGACCAAAAAAAAAAGGTTGCTATCACCTGTGGACTAGAAAGTGATGGGAAACAATATTTACAGTTTCAAAAATGTCAATACCAAGATACTTATTACAAAAAGAAAGTACTGTAACTTCACAGTGGAAAAAGAGGCCAATCACCAGAAATGGGACAAATCACTAACATTTCAGAGGAAATATAACATTACTTCAATGGTACTGTCAAAAATCTAACCAGGAAGAAAAACCAGACAAACCCAAACTGAAGGACATTTTACAAAATAACTAGCCTATACTTTTCAAAACTGTCAAGATCATGTCAGACAAAGACTGAAGTTCCAGATTAAAGGAGCCTAGAGGGACATTAACAGCTAAATGCAGCACATGATCCTGAACTGGGTCTTTAAAGCTTTTTTTATTTTTTATTTATTTATTTGAGAGAGAGAGAGAGAGAGAGAGAAACAGCATGAGAGGGGATAGGGTCAGAGGGAGAAGCAGGCTCCCCCCTGAGCTGGGAGCCCGATGTGGGACTTGATCCCGGGACTCTGGGATCATGACCTGAGCCGAAGGCAGTCGCTTAACCAACTGAGCCACCCAGGCGCCCCTGAACTGGGTCTTTAAACAAAGAAAAATTTTCTAGTAAAAATGAACATTATTGTGACAGTTGGAAAAATCTGCATAAAGTCTTCAGATTCATTAATAGTACTGTATCAGTGTTAATTTCTGATTTAGATCACTCTACTACAGTTATGTAATAGAATATCCTTGTCTTTAGAAAATACACACTGTAGTATTTGGGGATAAAGAGACATATCTATAACTTAATGCCAAACAGTTCAAATACACACACACACACACACACATACACACACACGAGGAAAAAGACAAAGCAAATATGATAAAATGTTAACATCTGGGTGAAGGATATAGAGGAATTCCTTATACTATTTCTTAAACTTTTCTGAAGATATTTCAAAATAAAAGTTTTTAAAAAAGAGAAACAGGGGTGTCTGGGTGGTTCAGTAGGTTAAGCACCTGCCTTTGGCTTAGGTCATGAACACGGTGTCGTGGGATCAGCCTCACTGGCTCCCTACTCAACGAGGAATCTGCTTCTGCTTCTCCCACTCCCTCTGCCCACCCCCCACCCCAGCTCATGCTCTCTCGTGAGCTCTCTCTTAAATAAATAAAATCTTAAAAAAAAAGAAAAGAAAAATATATGACACTAGGAGGCAAGTCAACTCAATTTTTGTGCCTTGTTACTCTTCTTCCTCTTTCTAGTTATGTAGAGAGAAAAGGCTTCAGGCATGGTAGCCGTACTGCCAACATAAATTGATAAGCATAAAGATGAATCCATGTAGTAAGGATAGCTGAACATAAAGCCAGAAATAGCCTGTGTGCTTGATGGAATCAAGGAGGCTGCTGTACCAGCCCCAGACTCCCTAATCACAATTATTTAATAAATGAGAAAAACAAAACCCTTTCTTGGTTAAGCCATTATAAGTTTTCTACTATGTGCAGCTGAACACAATCTATAATGAGCAAGTAAATTTTTTTTTTTTTTAAAGATTTTATTTATTTATTTGAAAGAGAGTGAGAGAGAGAGCACAAGAGGGGTGAGCGGGAGAGGGAGCAGACTCCCTGCTGAGCAGGGAGCCCGATGCGGGACTCAATCCCGGGACTCCAGGATCATGACCTGAGCTGAAGGCAGTTGCTTAACCAACTGAGCCACCTAGGCGCCCGAGCAAGTAAATTTTTTAATGCACTGTTCCTAGTAAAAATCAACTGATAATAAAACATAACATGCTAAAGATGTTAAGCCACTGTGTGCTAGTAGAAAATCTTCAAATACATATATATAAAATCTCATGAAAACTTCAAAATATGCAAGTAATAATGCTTACTAAGGTTCATTACTTGAGTCTTCTGGGGAAATGAGCTATAAAATATTCTGCATTTTAAAATTCATAGTGTTTAGGGGCACCTGGATGGCTTAGTTGGTTAAGTATCTGCCTCCGGCTCAGGTCATGATCCCAGGATCGAGCCGACATTGGGCTCCCTACTCGGCAAGGAGCCTGCTTCTCCCTCTCCCTTTGCTCCCTACTCATGCTTGCTCTCTCTCTCCAGTGTTTTCTCTAAGTAAAATCTTAAAAAAAATTTTTTAAAAATTCATAGTGTTTTATTTTCTGGAATGATTTTAATGACATTTAAAGAAATCCTAAGTATTTTAAGACTTTAAAATTAACAAGAATGGCTACATGGTTTATCTTTTTCCATCCTATTACTTTTTATCTCTCTTTATATTTAAAGTAGATTTCTTGTAGCTAGCATATAGTTAAGTCTTGCTTTTATTTTATTTTTTTAAGACCTGAGCAGAAAGCACTTAACAGACTGAGTCACCCAGGTGCAACTAAGTCTTGCTTAAAAAAAAAACAAAAAAAAACCCCAAAAAACTAGTCTCACAATCTCTGCCTTTTAATTGGAATGTTTAGACCATTTACATTTAATGTAATTACTAGTACACTGGGTTTAAGTCTACCACAATTAGAGATGGAGACTTTAATACTCCTCTCAGTAAATAGAACAGAAAATCAATAGGCTATGGAAAACTTTAATAATCAATCAACGATCTTGACTCAATTAACATGTACGAACACTCCATTTAATAAGGCAGAGTATCATTCTTTTCAAATATAGATGGAACATTCACCAAGACCACATTCAGGGCACAAAATAAGTACTGATATATCTAAGAGACCTGAAATCACACAAATGTTCTCTCACTACAACAGAACTAAAAAACAAAAATATTTAGAAAAACAACACATACACAAAAACATACTCCTAAATAACCCATAGATCAAAGAAGAAAGCACAAGCAATATTAGCAAATATTTGAAATGAATGAAAATAAAAACAATATATGAAATTCTGGGGGATGCAGCTACAGTTGTGCCTAGAAGAAAATCTGTAGCATCAAATGGGCTAAAATCAATTATCTAGGCTTCCATTTTAAGAGGGCAGAATAAGAACAAATTAAACTGAGGTGTGTTAGAGTTAAGAGCAATGGAGACTATGGCAAAATGAAAGAATACAACCCCCTGTGGATAAACCCCAATTTTCTAAAAAAACATGAAGTGGCAAACAAAATAGAACTTTGCAGGATATGAGATTTTGACCTGTGCTATGGAGAAAGAATGAGAGGAGGAGGCTCCCAAAGTACTAGCAGACTGTACTGAGATGAGAAGAGAAGGGAGAATGCTATGGTCACATGGTGGTAAAGTCAAGGGAGGGAGGGTATCATAGGAACTGCATTTATGCATTCTGTATGTGACTGCTGTGTATGACTAGCTAGTTTAATTTCATTTTCTAGTTATAAACTTCAACAGATCAAAGCCTCTAAAGTAATAACAAAAAACCCCACAACTTTGATACATAATCCATTACTATGATATGGACTAACTAAATTTTTTAAATGGTTTAAATTGCCTGTACTAGCAATAACTTTCAATAATTTCCAATCAAATAGGTTTTGACAGTAAGGCTGTACATATTACCATTAAAAATTGTTATTACCTCTGCTTCTCTTTTCTTTGCCCGTGCTTTCTCTACTTCATCCATTACTTTCTGGGATTCTTCCACATTTCCTTCAGCTCCTAGTTGTTCCACCTTGGCCAACAACTTACCAATTTCTTCATTTAACTCGTGAACACGTTCTGCCTAGAAATAAACAGAAAAGAAGATCATGAATAAAAAGCAGAATAAATTATCAGAGTTCAAAATATTTCATAAATGCTCAGGGAAGACTTATCTAAGGCAATATGAGTATAAATAATGCTTTCTGAGCATATCATAAATGAACTGGTGGGATATGAGGATGTTTTGAGCCTACCTGCCCTCACTGCAGTGAGGTCAGGAATACAACTGATCTCAGTTTAACTATTACTTTACAACCTCTGCTTTGGCAGTGTATTCCAAGTATAAAATACCGTTTACCACGATCTGCCCCTACATACCTTTCCAAACCATCTCTTGCTGTTCCCCCACGTCACAACACAATCTATAGTTATATCTAGTTTCCCAAATTTACTCTTGTTTTCTGCCTCTGTGACTTTGCAGAAGGATGTCATCCCTCTTCCTCAGACACCATCCCTTACCTCCCCTTGTCTGAACTCATATATATCGATTCATTCAACAAGATTCAACTATCCTGTGAAATATTCTTGATCAATCACATCTCACCCCCACTTAAACATAAGCAGAGAGCCAAACCTTCCTTTATGCCATCTTTTTATGTTTCATGATGCTCTTAAGTACATATCATACTTTTACACATATACTTTTGTACATATATATACCTTATGTATATACTTTTAGATACATATCACACCACCTTAAAGAAAGCTATTTATATTTCCCATCTGTGTATTTCCAATGCCCAACAAATAGCATAGGCTCAAACAGGAGTTAAAGAAATGAACTGGTATGGTGCCTGGGTGGCTAGGTTGGTTAAGCGACTGCCTTCGGCCCAGGTCATGATCCCAGAGTCCTGGGATCAAGTCCTGCATTGGGCTCCCCGCTGGGCAGGGAGTCTGCTTTTCCCTATGAACCCTACCCCCTCTTGTGCGCTCTCTCTCTCAAATAAATAAAATAAATCTAAAAAAAAAAAAAGAAATGAACTGGCAGATACTCTTTAAGATAAATATATGACTTTAGAGTCCAAAAGGTCTGGCTTATTGCCAAACCAATTACCAGCTATGTAATTTTGACCACATTACTTAACCTGAATCCATTTCCTCACCAAAGAAGTGGGAATAATACCTATCTCATAAAGTGAGAAATGAGAAACTGTGCCTTGCACATACACTGCACAGCACATTACTGATTTTCAGTATACTACCATAACACTCTGTGTCCCTTAGCCTTAGTTCATGTCTTTCCCCTGGGATAAATTCTTGCCTTGGGAATCTTTGTCGTCCTCCTCTTCATCACCGTCATCCTGAGAATATAGCTCATGCCTATTGTTTTAATGGCATATGATACCTATACAGTCTTTATATTGGCCACAAAGTAAGTATTCAGGCTGTGTGTCCAATTATATTAGCAAAGAAGATTTTAATTTGTTATGGACATCCAGTCCCAACAAACTGGTGTGCCAATAACTTTTACTTCTCAAATGTCCTTCAATCCAAAATATTTATCCCTCAAAGAAATTTTCAATTCTATTATCATTTTCTTACCTCTTAAACAAGTGGTATTTTTTTTTCAATATCTGTCACAGAATGATTGGATTATGCTTTAAACTCTTCACCTTTCACTGTATCCATCTCTTTGCTATATAATTAGTACCATCATATTTTGATTCTGAATTTGGCCACGTAACTGGCTTTAATTAATAAGACAGTAGCAAACATGACAGAAGGGAAGGCTTAAAAAGCACCTGTATGACATTTTTTGTACCTCTTCCACCACCCTAAGAACACAGCCAGACTAGCATTCTGCGTTCAACAGCCTCTGACTGACCAGAAGACATGTGAGTGAGCCCAGCTGAGACAGGAATACCTTCCCAGTCAAGTTCAGCCTTATCATTACCTGAAGACTCATGGGCTAAAATACTGTTTTAAGTCACTGAGTTTTGAGGTAATTTGTTAAACAGCATTTTTACAGTGATAGATAACCAATAAAATGCCATATAAACCAAGATAGCACTTGTGGATCTTTTTCAACCGTAACATTAGATCCCTGCACTTTAGGATACCATCTTTAGAGAACATTCCAGAAAAAGTTAATTAAAAATAACCGTTTCTGTGCTCGCTTCGGCAGCACATATACTAAAAATAACCGTTTCCCCAGGGCACCTGGCTGGCTAAGTCAGTAGAGCATGCAACTCTTGATCTCCGGGTTGTGAGTTCGAGCCCCACATTGCATGTAGAGATTACTTAAAACAAACAAAAAAACAAAAAAACCTTTCCTCACACAAAGGAATCCATTTCCCTCTGTACATCCATCTCTGAGAACTGTATTTAATGCTGTCATCCAAACTCTATCTGGGTAAACTCTGTCTCCATTCTGCATCTTCATAAAATGTACAAACTATACTGAACGGCACAAATGTTTCAAAGTATTAAGTCATCAAATCAACAAAATGCACTATATGGACTTTAAGATTCTGATTAGAGGGCGCCTGAGTGGCTCAGT